GAAAGACAGTACATCGTTACTCTTTAAAAAAAAATTTTTTTTACAGTCTCATTCATACATTAACTGATCCTTTACCTATTGTATATAAAAATAATAATCGCTCCACATTACACATGGACTTATAATATCTCAGGTTTTTAAGATATAGTTACGTATTTTTAAGTAACCTTTTGCTCAAGCCCTTTGATTCGTATCAAAAATATCAGATGTCGAGTTTTATAAATAATAGTTAAAAAGATTACTTATAATAAAACATCAACCTACACTATATACGTCCTACCTACATATATACCTGTATATACCATCAACCTACACTATATATATACGTCCAAGTAATAACGTTCGCAAACATAGGAAATTGTTAAATTAACTACTTTTAAAAGTTCTTCGTATAAAATCTTTACGAACAAAACACACATAACATCACGCCTTTTATCCCCGAAGGAGTAGGCAGAGGTGCACATTACGGCACTTAATCCCACTACAATGTATCACCCACTTTTCACTATTTATGTTATGAGCCCCATGTAATAGGAGGTGAGCTATTGGCATAAACCGAGCACATTTCCAGACTCCGTGCTACTACTGAAATTAAAAAAAACCTAGTATTACTTTGCCCGACCCGGGAATCGAACCCTAAACCCCTTGCGGCGTCGCGGAGAACCTAACGGATAACCGGGGCGATAATTTTCCCCCCTTAAAAAAAACCCCTGGCGGCAGTTGCACTAGCGACCACTCGACTAATGAGGCGTTTGCAAACAGGATTGTTAAATTAACAACTTTCAAAAGTTCTTCGTATAAAATCATTACGAACAAAAGTTTTATATAATATAACTATTTAACTTCTAGTGCTCGCTAAAATTATATTCTATCTTCCAAGCAGATTTCCTGAACCAATTCAAGTCTGAATTTATTTGTTCAACGTCTCTGGAAAAGGAATAAAATTAAGTTTTCCCTACAAGTTACTGTATAATATACATAATATACATTGGCATTGTGTATTACGATTCTTAAGTATATTGACACAGTTTTGTTTGTTCTTTAAAGGACGAGATGTACAAGGACGTGTAATGTGTTTAAACTAAATTCGTGTTGTTTAGTTCAATGAGTTTCTTCCTTTATGTCTTTTCATTATTTTTCAAGGGAAATATGTTTTATTTTTTTATTTGTATATGACGACACTCTTGATGTAGGTAAAGGAGGCTGATATATATTTATAACTAGCTTTTACCCGCGGTTTCGCTCGCGTCACAAAAGGATAAAAAGTAGCCTATGTGACACATACCAATACACACAGCGCCATCTATAACAATAATTTCGTTTTCCCTCGAGAATATCAGATTATTCCGGAATAAAAAGTACCCTATTATTTAATCCAGACTTCTAAATTTACGTCTGCAAAAATACAAAGCAATCAGTTTAGTAGTTACGGCGTGAAAGTAGAACAAACAAACAAACAAACAAACTTACTTTCCCATTTATAAAATTAGTAAGGATTTGTCTATGACAACACTCTTGATGTAGGTAAATGTGGCTGATATGTATTTGTAATTAGCTGACCCGGAAAATTAGTATTGCTTCGAACTTTTTTCTCGCCTTTAAACATTTCCTGCACTTTCACGTAGAGGTACAATTCAAGACCGAAATTAGCCAAATTGGTTCAGCCGTTCTTGAGTTCCCATTTATCCCCAAGCGGTCACCAGTGACCGCTCCCCACTAACAACATTATAGACCTTATTTCCGATGTTTAGAGACTACTTTTGTATGACAAATTTAAGGTATGATATTTCAACAGGTTAACTAGACTAACGAACGGAAATTCATTTTTATTTATATTTTTTAAGACCGAAATTAGCCATTTTGGTTCAATATTATTTTAACTCTTATATATATCAGTACTAGGTTCTTCCCGCGACTTCGTACGCGTAGTCTCATTTTTTCCCAGCACCGTTCGTGATTTTCGGTAAAAAGTAAAAAAAAAATGGTTAAAAGTATCCTATGTCGGTCTCCTGGCTCTAAGCTACCTCCCTACCATTTTTCAGCCAAATCTATTCTGCCATTCTTGAGTTATAAGTGGTGTAACTAACACGACTTTCTTTTATACCTCTATATATACCTCTAGATATGTCAAAAACCGATGCTTTTGATACCTCATAATGATTGTTCTATGTCGATACAACTACATAAATTCCGAATATCAAACCAGTGCCTTTAGCCAAACGCCACTTTAGCGCTTGTCTACAGAGAGAGTAGAAATCAAAATGTATGGGGATGACACTGACAAGTGTCATAATTGACGTCAATTCCATATAATTGGTTTTCTATTCTACATGACTGCCTCGTTGGCTGAGTGGTCGCAAGTGCGAATGCCGGGCAAGGGGTCTCGGGTTCGATTCCCGGGTCGGGCAAAGTATTACTGGGTTTAAAAAAAATCTCAGTAGTAGCACGGAGTCTGGAATTGTGCCCGGTATATGGCAATAGGCTCACCCCCTATTACATGGGACTCATAAAATAAATAGTGAAAAGTGGGTGGCTTAATGTGCACCTCTGCCTACCCCGTCGGGGATAAAAGGCGTGATGTTATGTATGTATGTACTATCTACATGTAGACAAGCTCTAAATAGCATTTGGCTACAGCTGCAGAATACACGAAAATTCAATAACCTGTCATCATAAGCCACTAAGGCACAACACTTAAAATTCCTAGAACATCAGGACACAACGTCGACATTGTTTCATAGAACTGCAATCAAACTGTGAAGCTGTCTCGCTGTGCAGTTGAAAATATTTCACATACACACACGTACATCGAACTATAAAAAACCAGTTAACTATAATCTCTCTTCGTATAACCTTTTCACACATTGGAAGGTCAGTTTATACTGGTATTGTGTAACTTGATGTGTTGCCGTGTGTACACCGCAGTGACAGTCTCCGCAACATATATCAGAGACGTGCTTCAGAAACTGACTCATTTTTATACATTTCCCGCACTTAGATATTCTGTTGAAATTATTTTTATTGTTCAAAAATGGGACGTAGCTTTAATACTATTGTAGAGTATCATTTTATTGCTTTTTAGGATAGAAATGCCTTCCTAATGCGTTAATTGATTATGTGGTCATTGAAAGAAACATTTACAAACACTATACTTTTTTTATGGCATAAGCCGATAAACGAGCAGACGGATCACCTGATGGTAAGCAATCGGCGTCGCCCATTGACACCTGGAACACCAGAGGCGTTACAAGCGCGTTACCGGCCTTTTGGGGATTAGGAGTTTGAGGATCGTTGGGGATTCAGGAATTGGGGAGACTGGGGAAGGGGACGGTAATTGGGGCACCGGTAACCTCACTCACACGACGAAACACAACGCAAGCGTTGCTTCACGTCGGTTTTCTATGAGGCCGTGGTATAACTCCGGTCGAGCCGGCCCATTCGTGCCGAAGCTTGGCTCTCCCACACTTAGAACTTATGTATATTTGGATCTTATTAATGGAATAAAACCTCATTACAATCTTAATGCTTTGTTTTTCAGCTAAGCTGATGACGCCTCTTTTAACAAAAGAAAAAGTAAATATTGGCACAACATTGTATAAAAAATAATAATATGATGAAAGTAAAGAAAAAGTCCCGTAAAAACTTTTAATATTTTGACTCCCAGCCAATCTAATATCGCTCCACGGACCTCCAAACTTCGTCACGCCACTGCCAAATTAATTTAATAATACAAAAAACCGCTTTGTAATCTAATCTTATACCGAGGAGCTTAAAAAGTTTTAAATATTAGGTAATTGGGTACGATAAAATCCACAGAGCTATACTAGAATTAATATTGTACTGTATTACAAACGTAAGTGTGGGAGAGCCATGCTTCGGCACGAATGGGCCGGCTCGACCGGAGTGATACCACGGCCTTACAGAAAACCGACGTGAAGCAACGCTTGTGTTGTTTTTCGTCGTGTGAGTGAGGTTACCGGAGGCCCAATTACTGTCCCCTAACGATCCTCAAACTCCTAATCCCCAAAAGGCCGGTAACGCACTCGTAACGCCTCTGGTGTTCCAGGTGTCCATGGGCGACGCCGATTGCTTACCATCACGTGATCCGTCTGCTCGTTTACCGGCTTTTGCCAAAAAACACAAATTTAACGATAAATATCCACCATTAACAAAATGGCTTTCAACCAAAAAAGGTGTCCCCAAAATGACACTTAAGTAAATTCTAGTAAATTGTTCGCGTAGTACTTAACCGGAATCATCTTTTAAAATTCTTAAGGAGCACTGACGAGGGTCAATGAGATGGATCGCAGGATTTTAAAAAGACAAACGACTCTGACATTAATCACCAAGTGGACAGCCAAAGTAACGCAAGGGACGTTTAATAAATGACTTAATTTTACTCCCTTAACTTTTTCCACAAAAGCAATCATTGCCTTTTTATTGGAACCGTTCAACTTACAATTTCAAATACAGACAGAACCATTCTCCCGAATAAAAAAGGGTACACTCGCGGTCAACTGGAAAAAGGACTGATAGGAATTCACTTAAAATAAATATTCTGATTTAGCCATGTCAGATTCGTTTTGTAACAATAATGTTATTTGTTCGGTACATTCTAGTTCATTCTGCGTAGAAAAAATACGTAAATCACGTCACAATATTTTTGACCTTCAGAAGTGGAAATTTCGATTACTGCCTCGTTGGCCGATTGGTTTCGACTCCCGGCTCGGGCAAAGCATTACTGGGTATTATCAAAAAATCTCAGTAGTAGCACGGAGTCTGGAATTGTGCCCGTTGTATAGCAATAGGCTCACCCCCTGTTACATGGGACTCATAATATAAATAGTGAAAAGTGGGTGTTACATTGTATGGTGTCATTAAGTATCGTAATGTACACCTCTGCCTATCCTTTCGGAGATAAAAGGCGTGATGTTATGTTATGTTTCGTCTACAACTGATTAATTTTTTTAACCACGATTATCATTTGTTACAGGCCCACGATGCTTAGTCTCCTCAGCATCACACTCCTGACCATTGCAGCTGAACAAATATACGCACAAGACACCTCAAAAGAGCATCAGGGACTTCAACCCTGCGGCGGACACTTAAAGGGTCCCGTAGGCACGATCACCACTCCAAACTTCCCCAACCCCTTCCCAGTCCCGATAAAGTGCAAATGGATAATAGAGCATGACATAGTGAACGGGACCATCTCGGTGTACTTTACGCAACAGTACACCACCACCGGGCTCACCTTCACCGAGTACTTGTACTACGATGAGTCGTACAAGCTAGGGGAGCGGAGGGCACTCACCCTTACTGACGAGAATATTACAAAAATCAAATGGCTTCAGGTAAGCTTCTTTTGAGTGAAAAAACATTTTATTAGGATTTCTCAGTTCCCAGAATCCTTATCACTATATAAAACATCTCTTGTAATTATATTTTTAGTCCCACGTAATTTTCATAAATAGTAATTCATTTTATATGTTAAATATTCCATTTATTTACCTAAAATATATTTGATACAGCTCTTTTATATTAATGCACTTGTTCACGTGACATGCCAATATAACTTAGCGTCATAAAATGCTAACGTATCACATTTAATTTTATTCATTTCTTTAAAATTTCATACGACGGAGTACAGGTAAGGTGAAATAAATGCCAGCAGATTTTTATTATGACGGGTGAAATTGTGTGTTCAGCCTCGTTCCTCGTTCCGTGGAAAAGGTTAATAATGTACCGCATTAAAGTAATTATTCAACGTAACAAGGTTGTCGGCGACTGTACCGCGTTTGAGAAAATAATTCTGTTGACTTTTTACGCGAGTACACACGTTAACACAAGTGTTTATTTTATAAAGTGCTGCATTTTGAAATGAAATAATTTCTTTCCTTTTTTAAGTCTTTGACTGTCTACAGAAAACTGTTGAAGGCAAATCCTCCTCTTATGTAGGTCATCGGTGACCTACACGGCGGTTAAAGTGTTAATAGATGCCTTTTTTCCTTTTTTGTTTGGTAATATTACAGAATGGTATAGTTATCATTAAATGTCGTTTACTGGTCATTTAACTTTGTTCCTTGGATGATACAATATTTTGATATCTAATATAATAGATAGAGGGATATACAGACAAAAGCAATTTCCTATAGAACAGGGTGGACAAAGACAGAGAATAAGAAAGAGCCGGACAGAAAGAGAGGTCCGAGGGAGGAATGCCGGATGCGAGCCCTCGGCGACGGACGACGATAACAATTTAATTCCGCTTTATCTTTCAAATTCCTTACATGGAAAGGGAAATATTTTTCTTTGACGTCATATGCATGGATTTTTCTCTATAAAAATATCGACATGACTTGATTTTCGAAGGGGAAACCATGGTGCACGTTACCAATGGAATACCCACTTTGGCTCAAACCTAAACTTTTTATTACATAACGCTGACGCTTTTTTTTTTCAAATGTTGCTCCACACTGGCCCTACACTAGTATTTTCTCCTGTGCGTTTACAAACATACAAGTTCACATACACATGACACCCAGACCTGGAACAACAATCTGTGGATCACGCAAACAGTTGACTGCCTCGATGGCCGAGTGGTCGCAAGTGCGACTGCCGGGCCTGAAGGGGTCTCGGGTTCGATTCCTGGGTCGGGCAAAGTATTATAGGGTTTTAAAAAAAAATCTCAGTAGTAGCACGGAATCTGGAATTGCGCCCGGTAAATGGCTATAGGCTCACCCCCTATTACATGGGACACATAACATAAATAGTGAAAAGTGGGTGTTACTTCTGTGTGCACCTCTGCCTACCCCCTCAGGGATATAGGGCGTTAAGCTGAGCTCTGGCCTTTTTGCGCCGTCTTTACTGTATTGTTCTTTATTTTATTTTTTGTGTTATTGTACCTTGTGACGGTGAGCAAATAAACGATTTTTCTTTCTTTCTTTCTGATGTTGTGTGTGTGTGTGCAAACAGTTGCTCCGTGGGGTAATCGAAGCCGTGACGCTTTCCGTGTCACCCGGTTGCCCAGCCACTGCACCAACCGTGCTGTCAATTACTCAAAGTATTTTGTTTTACAGACCCAAATAAAACAATTTGTTCACCGCACCTGTACATATGTAGTTTTGTTTCTAATAAGTATTCCATCGTACGTGTACATACCTTACTGTACAGTGTACATGAGCAACAAATTGTGTAAAGTTATTAACTCTGTGTACCGGCTTGCTCTCACAAAGTAAATACGTTCAAAGTAAACTAGCACACGGGAAATATTTGTTGAAACATTGTTCTTTAGTAACAGCCAAACACTGGACATGAAAATATTTGGAAAACTTTAAGTTGGAAAAATTAATCATGATGTTTCAAAACTGACCGCTAAGGTGAAATTCATTGTTTTATGTTATTTTGGGAGCATGTGTAAGTGTAGGAGAGCCATGCTTCGGCACGAACGGGCCGGCTCGACCGGAGTGATACCACGGCCTCACAGAAAACCGACGTGAAACAACACTTGCGTTGTGTTTTGTCGTGTGAGTGAGGTTACCGGAGACAAAATTACTCCCCTCCCCAATCTCTACAGACTCTGAATTCTTAAAATTCTCCTGTGTCAGGTGTACATGGGCGACGCCAATTATTGCTTACCGCCAGGTGGTCCGTCTACTTGTTTACCGGCTTATCCCATAAAGAAAAATATTATTGATTTAAAAAGTATTATTAGGTTGACTTACTAGCTTTATACTCGATTTATAGATACCACTGCACACTTATAAATTAATACGATATCAAAAATGGTCGTTTAGGCACCTCTACTTATCATATCTACTGAAAATGTCAAGCTACATTATTATAAAATTTACTAACAAAACAAAAAAAAACATCCTTTGAAATTATACCGTAAACAGTACAAATCATGATTCAATTTCTGTAATAAACATTCGACAATACAAAACGGCATTATAATTTCCAAAGACCTTATAACTACAGATTATATAAATCGCTTTATTTCTTTTGTCTCAAACGAAGGCCCTTGAGAACAGACGACTAGAATCACTTACAAATTGAATTGACCTGAAATACAAGGAGAAATTTTCCTTCAGTTTTTTTTCCTTCCCAATGTTCTATTACTTAGATTTTTTTCTCTCTTGTCGTGTGTGAGACAGGGGCAGGGCGGAGTTGTCCTCTGTCAGTGTGCTGAGGTAGCGGCCGTAAGGAATCTGACGATGGATAAAACTGGGGTCCAATGTAATATGTTAAAAAAGTTATGTTGCAATTCTAGAGGTATTCTAATCTAATCTACACTTAGAATCTATCTACTATTAGAATGAGCACCTACCTTCACCTAGCTTCACTGACGGACTGACTGACAGACTATTATTTATTTTGTATTTGTTGACGTTTCAAAAGTGCCAAATTATGGTTTCATCATCATCATCAACAGCTTATAAATGCCCACTGCTGAGCAAAGCCTCTTCATCACACTCACATGGAGAAGGTTAGAGCATTAATCACCACGCTTGCTCAATGCGGGTTGGCGATTTCAAACTTATAATTAGAAATTATAAGCCCAGGTTTCCTCACGATGTTTTTCCTTCACCGTTGGTCAGTGGTGTCTAAATAATCTTAGAAAGTACATATAACTCGTAAAAAGTCACATTGGTACTTGCTGTTGGTAGGTTTCGAACCCGCACCCTCGTGCATGAAAAGCAGGCGTCTTCAACCTCCGAGCCACAACGACATTGGTTTAATTGAAATAAATGCTTTGACCTTGTCTTTGACTCTACTAACCTTATAAATAGTTGATAGCTTTAACTATAACGACGTGATTATAATCATCATAAAGAGATAACTTTATAAGAGCAAAGTCAACGTAAAGCATAGAGCAAAACCTGACCCAGTTAAAAATCCTCAAAAACCGCAAATCACTGTATAATAAAAACTGGATAAAACTACAAAAAAAAAATCATACGGTTTACTTTGAAAACTCACGCTTCATTAATTGTGAACGGAATAGAAGATAAATCGTCATTTGTTCTTTTATTCAATCGTTCCATTTAGCTGTGTGGAGATCGAAATGGACAATTTGTGCGCACATAACATTTTACAACCGCTCTCGTCGACAATTCTCGAACATTCTATGGTGGAATATCCGAATAGAAACGGGATTTTTATTTCAAAATTGATATATTAAAAGTATTCGGTTTAAAGTATTGATTTATTGAAATTGGATACAGATGTGCTGTATCGATATTTTTCGCTCTGTTTGGATTTCTCGATTTGTTGTTATTCTAACTAATATATTTTTTTGGATTACTAAATCGTGCTTGTTTTTATAGTCATAACTGCTGAGTTTCAACCTTTGACTTGGAATTAAAAACTCATGTACGTAAAATAAAATTCAACCTTTTTTGTTGACGGGGGGAAACCTTCAAAAGGCGCCTAGCTTTTTGGGAAAAAATGACTAGGATTGTAGGATAATAATAATAATAATAAGCCCGCAAAGAACATTAGAACTGGCCTTAAAGCCGAAAGCAAGAAGAATTGCAAAAAAACTAATAATAATTTATTTAGTATGTCTCACAAAAGTTACAATACAATTAATATAATAATAATTATTATTGTAGGATTGAAGGAATGTAGGATTTTTACCTCACTAAAACCTCCCCGGTGGCCACCATTCGCACCTGAAGGAGGCACCTGGTCCTCAAAATATGCATGATGATAATTCATTAGTTAAATGATAGACTTTCACCCGAATACTGATACACAATTTCAAGTAATGCTTAAATATCGTGCCATCTCTGTCATTTTACAAAGAATTTGTAGTGACAGAACTATACTTAATAACGACTTAAAATTGAATGACTGACTGCCTCGTTGGCCGAGTAGCCGCAAGTACGACTGCCGGGCAAGGAATCTCGGCTTCGATTCCCGGGTCGGGCAAAGTATTACTGGGTTTTTAAAAATTTCTCAGTAGTAGTACGGAGTCTGGAATTGTGCCTGGTATATGGCTATAGACTCACTCCCTATTACATGGGACTCATAACATAAATAGTGAAAAGGGGGTGTTACATTGTATAGTGGCATAATGTGCACCTCTGCCTACCCCTCCGGGGATTAAAGGCGTGATGTTATGTTAAAATTGAGCGACGTTTGTGTATTTCAGCGTTAATGTATGAATCATCGCTTACAACCAGGCAAGATGGCGGCCAAACGTCATCCTATCAAGTATAGAAAAATGTACTTAATTATTCACTCAATTTAATAAAAAGCACATAGCTTTTAGTATTTTACATTTCAAAAATATAATAGACATGTTGACAGGGTATGAAAATTAAAAATCTAATTAGTCCGTAAGTTAGGTAATGAAAAAATATTAGACACGTATTTTTTATTGTGTTGTACACAAAGCACCGCTAATTAGTTAGCGGCGCTACACATCGACACAACTATCATTTACACAATATACATGTGTGGGTAATTTCATATCAATAGATATGTATAGAAACATTCGTCTATCACACACATCTTGGTATTTAAAAATCATTTTTGTGTCGGTATACGCAATAATTTAGTAAATAAGTTTAAATAAAAACGAGGGTAAAGATAAAATTACTCATAACAAACTTTGAATAAATCGAAATCAAAAATAATGAACGATCGAGCTATACAATACCCATATAAATATAGTGCTTTCTCATTGTAATTTTATGTTACTGAATGATATAAAATATTTTGATGATCT